CTTCCACAGCCTTTTCATTTAATTTTATAATTATTTGAAAACTTTTAAAATGATTTATTTCAAATTTGTGGTCTTATGACTTTTTCATTTTTAACTGCCTCCCACACCATTTCCACTGTCCTTTAAAAACATCTCATTCCCTCTTCAATCATTGATATGTCATAGGAAAGGGGTTAAATAATGGTAAGTCAATACATTCTACTGCAATAAAGAATAATTGAATAGAAATATATTTAAAAATAATAATACCACTAGTAATAACATCTCACATTTATCGAACGTTTATTGTTTGAAGCCTGATGTGAGTACTTTGCATACATGCTTTTCTTTAATTATCACAACAAACCTTTTCATACCATATGATGGTTAGTCTGTTTCGCAGGTGAGGCTTTTCCAAATGATGCAGCTGGTGGGACGCAGAGAAGAAGCAAGGGTGATTGTGACCTTGGGTTGTACTTGCTTCGTTACTTCTGCCCAACACGGAAATTCTCGGAACTTCCTTTTCACACAGGCGTTATAAATTTAAAAGCACAGCAAATCTGCCTTTTGGTCTCAGAATATGTCCTCTCCCAATCTTCCTCTTGTTAAGACCCCATGAAGAAAGATGACATGCACGAGTATCATCCAGAGGCCCAAGTCTTCAAGAATTCCATGCCAGGGGCCAGCAGGTGGCATGGTGGTTAAGGTGACTGGACTCCCGCATGGCTAACCATGGTTTGAGTCCTGGACCTGGCAGTTTACTTTCTCACTTTCCTTCTCTCTGTCTCTCTCTGGTCAACTTCAAAAAAATAAAATAATAAAATAATTGCAATGAATAAAATTAAATTTTTTTTTTTTGGAGAGGTCTATTTTGCTATAGGGCACGTGCGCTCGCCAGACAGACAGAGACAGAGAGACAGAAAGCGAGAAATCACCTCCCAGGGGGGATGGCCATGCCGCAATCCCCTCTCCTTCACCCTCCTCTCGGGATCCCGGGCACACACGCACACGCGCCCGGCGTGAGCTTCAAGCCACCGGGTCCGGGACGCAAACTTCGGTCAACCATGTGGGAGTCCAGCGACACAGCCATTACGCCAACCGCTGGTCCCTAAAATTAAATAATTCTTTAAAAAAAAAGAGAGAGAGTTCCAATGCCAAATGTGTATTGTATTCACTTTTTTGGAATGAGAATTCACAGCCTTCACCAGACTGAAAGAGGTCCGTACCCACAGAAGATCAGGAATCACCGACTTAGAGAATGTGTTAGGGTAAAGTAATGAATATCCTCTAGGAGCACCCCTGCTCACATTGATGATAAACTGCACCATAAAAAAGACAGAAATGTGAGTGTGAATGTGAAAAGCTCAGCTTCTCTGACCTTCCAACCTCAACTAGTTGCTGCAGAAATTAAGATTACAGCAATCTGGAGAGAGTAACAGCCATGAAGACAGAGAACTTCCTTTAAAGCAACAACACATCAACCAGCAAAATGAACCCCTTTGATCTGGGAGATTTTTGTAGCTCTCTTTAAAGGCATTTTGTAGGGACCCTTCACACTATTCTGGATGGTTTTTCTGGATACTGACTCAAGCCCTCTTGTTTTGGTCACTATGTTAATGTAAATGTTCCTGTGCTGGACATAAGATTAGAAATCAAGTGACTGGTATCTCTGTATAGGTTTCGAGAACCAATAAATTTCTCTGCTTTCTCAAGTTGTCTCATAAGCACAACAGTTTTTGTTTTTGTTTTAACTGTAATTTGAACTGGTCATAATAGTACCTTAACCAATTCACACTGAACTAGAAATTTATTCCTAAAATGGGAAGGGATGTGAGGTGAAGGCTTAACAGATGTCGAATCCTTACCTGGTGCTAAACTCTGTTCTTAGCATTAATGTATATTTATCTCATTTATAGCTTATAAGAACTCTATTGATTCAACACAATCATTTTCATTTACAGACAAGGAACTTAAGGCTACTCACTTTATATTTTTCAAGTGTGTTTCACAGATCACTCACACCAAAATCACCTGGGGACCAAGGCCCCAGCATGGTAGCTGGGGCACTGGACTCCCACATGGCTGACAGCAGTTTAAGTCCCAAACCTGGTGGCTGGTTTTCTCACTCTCCTTCTCTCTCCCTGTCTTTCTCTGGTGAACACACATGCCCTGTAGCATACTGAAAAATAATAATAATAATAAATAAAATTAAATAAATCTTCTTAAAAAATTCAACTGAGGGGGCCAGCAGATGGCATGGTGGTTAAGGTGCTGGACACTCCCACATAGCTGACGGTGGTTTGAGTCCCAGACCTGGCAGCTTGTTTCTCACTTTCCCTCTCTCTCTCTAGTCAAATTAAAATACATGAATGAATAAATCAAATTAAATAAATAATTATTTAATTATTTTAAAAGAAAAAAATCACCTAGGGAGCTTAATAGAAATGTAAATTCCTGTCCTCAATTCAAAAGAAACAATATATAAAACATGTGAAAGTGGGACCAGCAGTTGGTGTAATGGCTATGTCGCTGGACTCCCATGTAGTCAACCGCAGTTCGAGTCCCGGACCCGGAGGCTTAATCTCACGCCGGGCGCGTGTATGTGCGTGCCCAAGATCCCGAGAGGAGAATGGAGGAGAAGGGATTGCGACGTGGCCATCCCCCCATGGGGTGATTTCTCACTTTCTGTCTCTTTGTCTCTCTCTTTCTGGCAAGCACACGCGCCCTATAGCAAAAACCTCTCCAAAAATAAAAATAAATAAACAAAACGTGAAAGTTTTCTCCTTTGGTGGGTGGATGTTAAAGTAATTTATTAATCCACCTCTGTTCATCTGTTCATGACAGAGTCTTTTAATGGTCAGTAATCGTATTTGCAATTATATTTCTGTTATAAAAAGTGAATTATTGATTTTGGCTAGAAGAGGGATGTCTAAGTGGGTTGCCCAGGCTTGCCTAGAACTAGCAGTCTTGCCTCAGCGGCTAGGATTACAAGCACATGCCACTGTACCTGATTTAATTACTGTTGTTCATATAATTGCCAGAGTGCATGCATGCACTAGAGACAGAGAGACAAGGGAGGGGGAGAAGGAGAAAGCACCTCCCAGTGGGAGTCTGGTCACACAGCAATCCCTTCATCTCTATCCTGTCAGAATTTGGGGCATACATGCATACACGTCTGGAATGTTTTTCAAGCTACCAGGGCTAGGATTTGAATAACATTCAGCTATGTGGAATCTGAATCCCTTAAATACTAAGCCATGGGACAGGCCTATTACTGATTTTTTTTTTTTTTTTTTTGGAGAGGTTTTTTTTTGCTATAGGGCACGTGCGTTCGCCAGACAGACAGACAGAGACAGAAAGCGAGAAATCACCCCCCAGGGGGGATGGCCACCCCGCAATCCCTTCTCCTCCGTTCTCCTCTCAGGATCTTGGGCACGCATGCACACGCGACCGGCGTGAGTTCTAAGCCACCGGGTCCAGGACGTGAACCGCGGTCGACTACGTGGGAGTGCAGTGACATAGCCATTACGCTAACTGCTGGTCCCCTGATTTTTTTTTTTAATAGGCAAATAAAGACTCCCAGCATTTACTCAGTCTCTTCCTCAATAGAATATCAGGAATGGTACCCAAAACAAGTGCTAGTGCTATTATTATCTGTAACTTTTATTAAAAAAAGTCTTTCTTTTCTATTCATTTTGCTTTCCTTGTTTCAGATTCTCTCTCCTGCTTTCTCTTTCTGCATCAGTTTGACTTCTTTCCTGAGTTTGTCACTAGTTTCTGGTGATACTCAATGAGTCTTTAAATAATCTCTCTTTTCGTTTTCCCAGTTCTGAGTCAATTAAGATAAATACAGAGAACCAAGACAGATGGAGATTAAAATTAAAAAGCTAGATTGAAAACTAGGGCTTAGGTAAACAAACCATCAAGCTTCCTAATACTCACCAAGTCTAGACCCAGGGGTGACCCACTTACCTGGAATCACTGCTTCAAACCTGTTAAGTCCAGAGTGAGAACAGAGACAAGAAGCCTCTCGCCATGAATCTAGAAGTCAGTATTTTGTATAAGTATGAGTATGTGTACATTGGGACGTGCTTAGTATATGTGTATGTGCACACATGCAAAAAATATGGGCATCATCAAAAAGTATGTGAAAAATGGAAGGAAACATTTTGATGCAAAAAAATCTGAAATCCATGTATCAGTTTTTCTTAATACAAACTCTTGGTGAACTTTTTGGAGAGAGATATGTGTATATGGAAAAACAACTATTTCTACAAAATGGAAACCTAAATAAAATTCAGAGGCAAGGTGATAAGCTTTACAAAATAAATGTGGAAAAAACATGCACCTCTGCCTTACATCTAAGCTCTCTTCCAGGAACAGAGATAAACTGATACTATAAAAGATTTCCTAGCAGATTCACCCTGCTAGAAAGTTCACTTTACTTGAAGAAATTCAATAAATCATGTAAAATTATCATTAATTATATGAAATAATTATGTTAAATTCATCTAATGGGAATTAACATATAGTTTAAGAAGTTACATATTGATGATAGAAATGCAGATCCTGGTGCTCCAATGCCAATCCTCTCTGACTTTTTGAATTAAGGGGTTTTTTTGTTTGTTTTTCTTTTGTTAGTTTTTTGCCATAGGGTGCATGCACCCACAGGATAAAGACAGAAGAATGAGAAATCACCCCCCCTCAAGGGGTATGGCTATGCTACAATCTCTTCCCCTCAGTTCTGGGGTTTGGAGCGCGTGCGCATGTGCACATACATACACACACAGCATGATTTTCAAGCCACCAGGTCAGGGACTTAAAATGCAGTCAGTCATGTGGGAGTCTAGCGCTTTAACCAATATGCCACCTGTTAGCCCCTTACTTTAAGGTTTTGAGACAAAACAGCCAGGAATACCTCTGCTGCCTCCTGTCAAACTTGACATCATAATAAAACCCATATTTATGGGATTTCCCTAAAACTACAAGATTATTGTGGCAGTTTTTTTCAATAGGTCATGCAGAAGGAAGTTGCAGTTGGAGGAGTATAACACAGAATCTACAGCAGTGGAGATGATAGTATCGTCAGTAGCAGCCATGAGACAGGTCAGTCAGCTTCAGGTAAAGCATACAGTGATACACAGGTGAGTAAGATTACCCTGTCCTCACCACATTTGTACTTCAGAAGATAAAGGACCTGGGAACATTTCTATTTTAATAAATAGAAATGAAAATTACACCCTCTCTCTGTCTTTCTGGCAAGCACACGCGCCCTATAGCAAAAACCTCCCCCCCCAAAAAAAAAAGAGTTACAGCAAAACATTTATTACGTGCTTATTATATTCCAGATACTGTACTGATCACTTTTACTACAGAATCATAATATACTATTAATATAATTATTAGGAGCAACGGTAGGGGTGCATGGCTGCAATCCCAGCTACTTAGGAGACTGAACAAGAGAATTGTGAGTTAAGGCCTGCCTAGGCAACACAATGAGACCCTGTACATACATGTACATGTATATATACACACACACATATATATATACAGACACACATATGTATACATACACAGACCTATATATATAATGTATATACAGATAGATCTAGATATATATCAATGTGCTTAACATCTTGAACTCAAAATCCAGTAAATTGGGTGAAAAAAGAGACTGAATTGAGAAGATGCCGAAGTGTGATTACTATTAACTCTTTTCTCAATAGATTAGCACCTTGCCTAGAACACTAAACTCTTCTTGAATTTTATGTATACGTGTGAATAATCATCATGAGTTTAGGGTTAGGGTGTGGCAAGAATCATGTTGTATATGGAAGTCCATGCTCTCCTCTGTTCTTTTTCTGGTCTGAAGGAAAAGATAGGAGAGGTGATAGCCAGGTTTCCAAATGGAGGGACGCCAAATCTGCCACCTGAGACAAGTGCTGCAAATTCAGGGCCAAGAGATTATGGTAGATTCAGGCACAGATTGCGAGGGCAATCCAAGTACCACGTAATTAGCCAGACCTAATTAGTTAACAACAGACTTCTAGTCTGAGCTCTGAAAACCTAAAGTTACAAAGCTGCAGAAATAGCTAAAGTAAGACTTTGGATGTCAAAACTGATCCCAAAGTAGGACATATAGACTGAAGCAATGAACATAATTGTGAATGGGTCCAAAATAACAGAAGTGGAAGATGTCTTTTTTTTTTTTTTAATTTGTTATAGAATGCATGCATTCACCAGAGAGAAGCAGAGAGAGGAAGAGAGGGAAAGTGAGAAAGCACATCCCATGGAGGATGGCCACCCCACAATCCCTTTCTTCATTTTCCACTTAAGATTTTGGGCATGTATGCACATGAGCCAGCAGGTTTTTCAAAACGCTAGGTCCAGAAATCGAACCAGATAGTCAGCTTTGTGGGATCCTGCCACTTTAATCACTATCCCACAGACTGGCCCTCTATTTTTCTTGAAGGTAACAAAGAATACAGAAGATTTAAGAGTCTCGATAGGAGACCAGCAGATGGAATAGTGGTTACGTCACTAGACTCCTACATAGTTGACTTTGATTTGAGTCCTGGACCCAGCAGCTGAAATTCACACTGGGCACGTGTGCATGTGTGCCCCAAATCCTGAGAGGAGATTGGAGGAGAAGGGATCATGGCATGACCATTCCCCCCCGGGGGGTGAGACTGGGGGTGGGGGGTGATTCCTCGCTTTCTGTCTTTCTGTCTCTCTGTCTCTCCAGTGAGCACAGGTACCCTATAGCAAAAATCTCATAAAGGAAGAAAAAAAAAAGAATCTTGATATATGTTGAGATTCACTGTAAGGGTCCAGCCTGGTGGTGTAGTTGGTAGTGAACTGAACTGCAGTGTTGGAAGCTACATGGCTAACCACAGGTTCAGATCCCCAGGTTGGCCTGAGAAACACAGATGCACAGGCGGCCAAGTTCCTGGTGACCTAGGGGACTGTGGACAGGGATGATGGGATAACAAAATCCTGTCGGAGATGCTTTTCTTTTTCTCTTAAGTACATGCATGTGCTCTCTATCATGACTAAAATAAAAAAAGAGAAAAGAAAAGATTTACCCTTACAGGAATGTCTATTACACATAAAAGGATGTGTTTCTTTTATATCACTTTTCGTGAATTTGTTCACTTGGTATACGGAATAGCTAGCTAATTTGTAGTATTAGTTTAATAAAGGGTGAAATATTTAAATTTCAATATTTACTTCTCAGACTTAACTAAGCTAATTTCTAGAATTCAAAGGATCGTTATAAACAGATTCTAGCTAGGCAGCTGTACTTCTGAATCCTAATGGAACAGCCCAACACCATCATATATGAGGGACCATGAGAAATAGCACAGAAGGGTGGAGAGAGTACTTAGCTCAGGATGAAGTTCAAGCAAGTCACAGAACTTTTTGCTTAGAGTCCTACAATTCCTTTGAAAAGATTCGAGGGAACCAGCAGTTAGCGTAATGGCTATGTCGCTGGACTCCCACGTAGTCGACCGCGGATCGTGTCCTGGACCCGGTAGCTTAAAACTCACGCCGGGCGCGTGTGCGTGCGTGCGCAAGATCCCGAGAGGAGAATGGAGGAGAAGGGATTGCAGCGTGACCATCCCCCCTGGGGGGTGATTTCTCACTTTCTGTCTCTATGTCTCTCTCTGTCTGTCTGGCGAGCGCACGCACCCTACAGTGAAAATCTCTCCAAAAAAAAAAAAAAAAGATTCGAGACTGATAACTAGGTCTCTGATATTCAAAGTAGGTCAAAGAGTATAGACAAACTCCACCCAGCTTCTGTGGAGCATATGTTGGAGGTTAATACATCAGGGAATGAAATGATTCACTACATAGTGAATGAACAGTTCCTGTTGATCAGCAGAAAAGATCATTTTTTCTATTATTTAGATGGGATAAACTATATTTATTTGTTTTTTAGTTCACTGCTTTTATTCTGTCATCATCACTCTATGATTGAGCCATCCAGTGAGTTTTTTATTTTGGTTCTTGTGTTTTTCAGTTTTTGATTTTCCATTTTTTTAACTTCTACTTCTTAGCTGAGATTTTTCTGTATTTTCACTTATTTTAAGTAATTTTATAATTATTTGTTGGAGCATTTTTATGAAGGCTGCTCTAAAACCATGTTAGATAATGCCAACATCTGATTAATCTCAATATTGGTGTCATTTCTTTTCTTTACTTTTGGCTATAAAGTGAGTGCACTCACCAAAGAAAGAGAGAAAGAGAGCATGAGAGAGATGACCCCCAGGGGGAATGGCCATGCCACAATCTCTTCTCCTCCATTCTCCTCTCATGATTTTGGGCATGCACACACACAAACACACACACACCCAGCATGATTCCCAAGCTGCTGGGTCCAGGACTCAAACTGCAAAGTCAACTATGTAGGATCTAGCTGCCTTAACGTCCACACCACCCGCTGGCTCATGTTGGTGTAATTTTAATGTCTCATCTAAATTGTGGTTCTCCTGGCTCTTGGTATAAAAGGTGATTTTCTTTCTTTTCTTTTCTCAAATTTACTATAAGACGTGTGCTCACTAAAGGTGGGGGTGGGGAAATGAGAAAGCACCTCTAGAGAGATGGCTTCACCACAGTTCCTTCTCCTTCATTCTCCTTTCTAGATTTTGTGCACACATGCACACACACCCAGAGTGGTTTTTTTTTCAAGAATTATTTTATTTAACTTTATTTATTTATTTAAATTTGACCAGAGAGGGACAGAATGAGAGAAAAAGAGAGAGAGAGGGAAAATAAGAAAGTAAGCCACCAGGTCCAGGACTCAAACCACAGTCTGCCATGTGGGAGTTCAGTGCCCTTAATCACCACGCCACCTGCTGGCCCCAACCCAGGGTGTTTTTCAGGTTTCTGGGTCTGGGACTTGAACTGTGCAGTTGCACTCACCACCACGCCAACTGGCCCAGGAGTTTTTCTGTTGTATCTTGGACACTTGGCCTATTGTGTCGGAAAGTTCTGGGTCCTACGGAAATCTATTATAGAAAGCAGTCACTTGACTATTTAGATTTAGCACACAAGTCCTGGTCTACTTATAGTCTGTGGCTCCAAAGACAACTTAATTTTCAGTCTTTGCTGTGCTACTTTGGTCTACTTGGCAGCTTTGGTACCACTAGATTTTCCAGTGATTTTGGAAATTGCCTTGTGTGGGAAATAAGCATATTTCCAGTCCAGGTCACCTTGTACCTTTGGGTGAGAGAAGGGAGTCTCCAGTCTTCAGGGATAAAAATTGTTTCCCCAGGACTTCTTGTCAAAAGAGCTTTTAATTGATCCATTTTTCCAGGCTCACCTGGTCTGTCTGGTATTGTCAAAACTCCTATTCAATGGAGAAGAGGAATAAGCCTCCCCAGGCCATCTTCGCTACTGAGATTCAGGAGGCGTGGGGACTGGGTTGCCTTCTGTTCTTCGGTGGGGAGGATCATAAGATACCTGACCACCGTGCTCTTCTTCCCAGTCTTGTATCCATAGCCTACTTGCCTTTACCTTTTTTGTTTGTTTTTTAAGATTTTCACCACAGAGCACGTGTACTCTGGCGAGAGATGAGAGGGAAAGTGAGAGTTTACTCTCCTAGGGCCAGCAGATGGCATGGTGGTTAAGGGCACTTGACTCCCACATGGCCTACCGTGGTTCAAGTCCCAGACCTGACAGCTTACTTTCTCACTTTCTCGCTCTCTCTCTCTGGTGGGTACACATGCTGTATGGAAAATTTAAATATAAATTTAATAATAATAAATAAAACTAAATAAATAATTATTTTTAAAAAAATAAAAGAAAGATCTGAAATAAGTTCTCTACATTTTTACCTCAGGAAATTAGGAAAAAAAAATTAACAAACTAAATCTAAAATAAACAGATATCAAGATCAATAGAGAAATAAACACAAAAGCTATGTTTTTTTTAATAAGTTTGTTTATTTATTTTATATTTTAATTTTACTGGAGAGGGACAGAGTGATAGAGAGGAAGTGAGAAAGCAAGCCACCAGGTCCGAGACTTGGACCACAGTCAGCCATGTGGGAGTCCAGCACCCTTAACCACCACGCCACTTGCCGGCCCCAAGCTATGTGTTTTAAAAGATCAATAAAATATATAAGCCTCTAACAAAGCTAACTAAAAACAGAAAAACAAAAAACTTGGATAAGCCTATGGCTTGGTGGTTAAGGTAGCTGAATCCCATATGGTCAACCATTTGGTTTAAGTCCCAGACCCAGCAGGCACACACACACACACACACACACACACACACGCACACACATGAAAAACACGTGTGTGTATGTGTGCCCAAAATTCCCAAAGGAGGAGGAGATGGAGAAGAAGGTACTGTGGTGTGACCATGCCTAGGGACTTGGAGGTGAGTGTTTTTTTTGCTTTTCCTACTTCTGTCTCGCTCCAGTGAGCACAGGTGGTCTCTGACAAATGAAAAACAAACTAAAAACTAAAAAGTAAGCACAAATTGTTAATATCAGAAATGAAATAGTGACTATTACTACCCAAGCCTATGGTCTTAAAAAGTTAATAAGAGGGAGCCAGTAGGTGGCATAGTGGGTAACGTGTAGGACTCCCACATGGCCGACCACAGGCCATTGCCCTGGGGGATTATTTCTCACGTTCATTTTCTTTCTGTCTCTGGCAAGTGCATGTGCTGTATAGGAAACTAGAAAAAATAATGACTAGAAATTTTTTAAAATTGTGATACTGGATTATAGAACAGTGTTGGTCTAACAGCCTACTCTGCTATACTGATAGTCTGTCTTCAAAGCAAGCCCATGGGGCAGTTAGCCACAAAAAGGACAGTTGATTCTGAATAATATGGAGATGCTCAGATTTCCTGGACTCAGGTTTCTGCATGTTTCCTCAAGGGCTAGAACATGGGCAATCTTAGTTGAACAGGTGACTTTAAAAAGGCTTGGTTAGGGAACCAGCAGTTAGCGTAATGGCTATGTCGCTGGACTCCCACGTAGTCAACCGTGGTTCGCGTCCCGGACCCGGTGGCTTAAAACTCATGCTGGGTGCGTGTACGTGAGTGCCCAAGATCCCGAGAGGAGAATGGAGGAGAAGGGATTGCGGCGTGACCATCCCCCCTGGGGGGTGATTTCTCGCTTTCTGTCTCTCTG